AGTAGTAGTAGTAGTAGTGGTGATGATGATGATGATGCGTTTTGGGGTTGAAGACATTCCGTGACACCCCTCACTTGCAACGCAAAGCTCTTCTCAACTGTTCAAAAAAACCCGGCCTGAAGCTGGGAACCCTGAACATTTCCGAGCCTTGAACTGAACCTGCCGAAACCCGAAAAGCCCCAAACCCCAACGCCCTTCAGTTCGGGATCGCAGGTGCGGCCTCTTGATGCCGCTGCTGCTCTATGAGGACCTTGCCGTACCAGAACAGCGCCAGCCCTTCCTGTCTTGGTCCCAAGCGAGTTAAGATCAGCAACGGTTTAAGCTGTTTTTGGCCTTTGCCGGATGTTTTGGGGTTTGGGGCTTTGGAGTTTAGCCGCGCCGAGGTGTCTTAAGATGCTGCAGTGCTAGCTGCTGGAGATGGTTCGGGGCTGAAATCTCAGAGAAAGTATGTGCGGCAATACCAGCTTGAGGCATCAATTCAAAGTCAACGTGCTCTGCCACTTGACCACAGCGGCAAAGTGACACGGTCGTCGCAGAAGTGCTTGTTAGTCTCGAATGCCACTTCGCTAGCCGACTGGCCAACAGCAAGCACCGTCAGCATCAGCTTCCGCGACATAGCCCCTGCAATCAAGCTTATCAAATTATACACCGCAGCCCTTCACGAACCAGCCCCCAGAAGCGACCATCACCACCACCAGCTGCCCGCCCCTTCCGAACAAGACAGCGAACATCATCAGCCGCTCCACCAATTTGAAAGCCAGCCACCCGCAGCATCATTTCCGCCATCCTATCACGAACCAGGAGCCAGCAGCCAGCAGCATCACAACCACCTGCCACGCCATTACCAAACGAAACAGCGAACATCATCAGCATCGACTTCCCCGTCCATTGAAGAGCAACCAGCACCATCAGCAACAATAGCTCCACCACCCCTTACCCATTTGAGAGTCAGCCGTCAGCAGCCAGCATGATCGGCATCAGCTCTGCCATCTCCCCACGAGCACAAAAAGCTAGCGGCCAGCATCACTATCACCACCAGCTTCCCACCATTACCGAACAAGACGGGCAGCATCAGCTACCCCATCCAGTCAAGAATCAGGCGCCCGTCAAGAATCAGGCGCCGGCAGCCAGCATCATCGACATCAGCTTCGCCAAGACAACTAGCAGCTATCATTACTGTGACAGTTGCTCACCCTTTCCGAACAAGACGGCGAGCATCATCTGCATCAGCTGGCCCATCCAGTCAAAATTCCAGGCGCCAGCAGCCAGCATCAACGGCATCAGCTCCACCATCTCTGCACAAAATCTCAAGAGCCAGCAGCTAACATTAGTATCACCATCAGTTGCCCACCCTTAACGAAAAAGACAGCGCCTGATCGAACAAGACAGCAAGCATCATCAGCATCAGCTGCCACATCCAATCAAAAATCCAGGCGCCAGCAGCCAGCATCATCGGCATCAGCTCCACCATCTCTGCACAAAACCCCAAGAGCTGGCAGCTACCATTACTATAACCATCAGTTGCCCACCCTTACCGAAAAAGACAGCGCCTTCCCGAACAAGACAGCGAGCATCATCAGCATCAGCTGCCCCATCCAGTCAAAAGTTAGCCGCCGGCAGCCAGCATCATCAGCATCAGCGAGGCCATCCCTTTACAACATCCCAACACCCAGCAGCAAAACGGCGAGCATCAGCAGCATCAGCTGTCCCATCCAGTCAAAAATTAGCGGCCAGCAGCCACGATCATCCGCATCAGCTCCGTCATCCCTTTACCAACAGCGAGCATCGTCAGCATCAGCTTCCCTATCCAGTCAAACGCCAGAAGCCAGCATCATGGGCATCAGCTGCACCGTCCCTTCACAAAATCCAAACAGCTAGCGGCTAGCAACAAGACAGCGAGCATCATCATCATCATCATCATCATCATCATCATCATCACCTGCCCCATCCAATCAAAAATCGGGTGCCAGCAGCCACCAGCACCAGCTGCCTCAACACTAGCGAACGTTGGCAGCATCTGCTGCCTGTTCCTTCACAAACCACTCCCCAACAAGACACTCAAGTGGAACGTCACCGGCATCAACGACCCCTGCCGGCTTGACCCAGTAGAAACGTGCTTCCCTTTCAGGGTATGCCACTTATTGGTGTTTAGGGACTACACCTGTAAACGTGTTTGTCAGAGCCAACGTCTGCAGAGTGCCGACGGGCCTAAACCCTAAACTGAAACCATTACCACATAAGAAAATAGCATTTACAACAAATATATACACATATATATATATATATATATATGTGTGAGTATATGTTAAGTAATGATACTATACATGTGAATATGAATACAGGCCTCCGGCTCCAACTCCAGAGCATCCACGAAGTCGCTTCCTTTGCCAGAGATCAGCACTGCAAGGTCGCAGACTTTAGGGTTTAGGGTTTAGGACCTTGAGGCAAAAGAAGCAGCAAGAAAGGATTTCCGGGTGAGCCTGTTGAGATCGGCTCACCCTCACTCCAAACCCTAAACCCCAAATCCCAAACCCTAGATCCTGAAGCCTTTGTCAGACGCTGGATCTTCATAAAAAGCCAGAACCTTGCAGGAAGCCCCAAAGCCCCCGGACCCCAGTAGCTGCCAGATTCAGGGGCTTAAGGTTTAGATCTTAAGGTTTAGGTCTTAAGGTTTAGGGGCTTAGGGTTAAGGGCAGCACCCACGAGACTCCATTTTTTTGAACGGGGAATCGACCCCTCTAAACCACTTCCAAAAAACAGAACAAGGACTTTTGATGTGGGGTCCCTAACAAGGATCTGTGCTATGCTTCAGGGAATGATTCGTGATTGAGGCTGGTCCTAGATCTACACGTAGTACTACTGCAACTTGGAGAACGGTTCTTGATTAATGTAGAGACCTTAATACTTAGAATAATGTTTCGGGCTCCTTTATAGTATTGTTATAATAAGGAGCCCCCAAAATAGTATAGGTAATCATCAAGGCCCCTAGATTAAGGATTCTTCTGGTCTTCGGAAGCCATGCATTCTTTCCCGTCACCGAGGGTCTGGCCGGCTGCATCCAGATTGCCAAGGAGCCGCAACACTAGCCTTCGGCTAGGGCTCAGGCTTGCGGGGTGCAGGGAGGGCCTTGCGGTTTTTTGGTGCAGGGAGGGCCTTGCGGTTTTAGGGTTTATGGTTCGGGGTTGTGGGTTGGAGGGTACCCCTTTTTGATACGGAAGCTTGTGTCCCGCAAAGTCTTTTGTCAACCGCTCTGAAAAATGTGAACCCCTGATTGATCAACCCATTCCCCTGTAGACGGATTACAGTAGGGATCCTACTGTACTTCCTCCCGGCAGCTGCCTGCCAATAGCGACACAATGTCTCGCGGCGGCCTTGCTTTCAAAACATCATCCCAAAACTCCTAAATTGCAAAGTCCTGTACAGCCTTTTTAAACCCTTCATAGGCTCTTATAAAACGCCCAAGATTGGTTGACATGTGGAGACTTGACTAGAAGGCACGGAAGTGAAGATCCAAAATCCTGGCCCTCGACCTGCATCCCCATCCACAAAGCATCCCCATTCTCCTGGGCAAATAATATTTGGGCCTTAATAATTCGACTCGGGTTTTGGGCTCCTTTATAATGCAATTGTGCTGAGGAACCCTAAGGAATAACACAGTCTTTTGAAAGTTGTCCTGTGTTGAAGTTACGTTAGTGCCACTTTGCCGCTCTCCACGCTGGCCTGATCGGCAGGAGGCAAAGCCTCAAGCCGTTTGATACATGAAACCCTTTACGTCATAAGCCCTAAACCTTCAGAAACCCTAAATATAATTCTAAACCCTGACCTGAGCTTCCAGACCCCCGCCCTCCATAATACAGGGATCCCTAACCCTAAACCCTAAACCCCTAAACATTAGTAAACAATTGGGCCTCGGTTTCCATAGGAGGGTGACTTGTTTAAGTTCCTGAACAAGAACCCAAAACCCTCAAATGTCTTTTTGCTCTTTGAGGTTTAGGGGTTTAGGGTTTAGGGTTGAGGGTTTAGGGTTTAGGGTTTAGCAGTTTGGGGGTTTGGGGTTTAGGGTTTAGGATTTAGGGTTTAGGGTTTAGCATTTTGGGGCTTAGGGTGCAGAGTTTAGGGCTTCCTGTCGGAACTCTGCTCAGCGCTCTGCGCACGGCGCATCAGCAACTCGACGAGGAAGCTCCTGGGCACCCGATTTTTTGGGGGATTTTTGGGGCTTCAGGGCTTCAGGGCGGTAGGGAGGGTAATTTAGGGTTTAGGGTTTAGGCTTTAGGGTTCAGCTTGGGGCTTCGGGACTATAGCTCCAAAGCCGGAACTTTTGGGGGTTTTAACACTTTTTGGATTTAGGGTTCAGCGTTCAGGATGTAGGGGTGTTCAGGGCTTGAAAGGAGCATCTGATTTGGACTCAGGGTGTCCGGCGCCACAAATACCACC